CCCCAAAACCCCAAAACCCCAAAACCCCTAAATGATATAAATTTGTTGAATGATATTTTTGTATAATGGAAGAGTCTGAATAGAAAGTCCTTTTTATTGAAGGTATGTAGCTTGCTCTCAAAAAGCTTTGAAGTTTTGTTTTATAAATGATCCTATGTGACCTTCAAATAGCTTATGGGATGTTTTATAAGCTTCTCATAGGCGACTTAATGTATGATGAAGAGGACGATCTACAGTCTGATCCTTTGAGTTTGGGAAAGAAGCAGTTTTACTTAGCATCAAGAGTAAATTCAATATTTAATAAGACAATTTCTGAATTTATTATTACCATTTTGATTGTCAAAACTATTCCTGTTAACATTTGTACTTTTCCTTTTAAGCTCAAACCTAATAATTCCAATCAATAAAGCTCACCTATCAACAAAAATATTTCATTTCACATAAAAAGCATAATATTCTTGATAATTATTACCTTAGAGAGAAGCCTGAAGACAAAGGGGCATTCGGAATGATCTATAAACCTTTGGGAAGAGTACATAATTTATTAGAGTATCTAAAAGATCAATATTAAAAACCTTAGTAATAAAATAATTTCTCAAGGAAGTATCTGGGTTAAAAGTTCTAGATCATTCTGATATTATTAAGCTTTAAGAAGTATATAAGGATGTGGCTAATGGATGGGTATATTTTGTAGAAGGGTTTAACAGGGAAGTGCCCTCTTTGATTAAATCTGAAAAATGAAGGTTTCAAAGAAAATGAAGATAAGAGAGTGTTTTACTCTATAATCTCAAGTCTTATTTATTAACATAAGAACTATATCAGTCATAGATATCTTAAATCTGATAATTTCATGTTTTCTTCAATGGAGCTAGATGCTACTGTAAAGCAAATAGACTTTGGTCTGTCAGGTAAGAATTTTAATTTAATGAAAAGGAGGTGAAGTTACTCGAATGGAGACCAAAGCGGGACCAAAGCTCTACATGGCTCCTGAGATCCTAAACCATGCTTACTCAAGTTCATGAGATACTTAGTGTTGAGGAGCCATTCTATACCTTCTGGTATCCTTCAAAATCCCATTTGAACAAACTAAAGAATAGAGAATGAGATTATAAATCTGAATTATAACTTCGATGATCATGCTTGGGGCACATTTCTAAGAAATATAAGGATTTGATTTCTAAACTACCCATACCAGAAAAGAATGGAATTATTGCTAAGCAAGCTCTGAAACATCTTGAATGAAGAATCTTCGTATTATAGGCAAAGTTATTAAAGATAAAACTATTAATATGGAACAATTTGATGACTTTAAGGAATCCAGAATGCTCGAGAGAACAGTCCTATCTTTCTTAATATCATTGGAAAGCGATGATGATATCAATGAGAAGATCGATCTGTTTATGAGACTTGGTCCAAACAACAATAGCTACATTATCAGGAAGGAGCTAAGCAAAGGCCAAAGAAAACTTAAGCACAGAACAGATGAAGAAAATGATAAAATAATGAAAATGGATACTGACAGATATAGGAGTTATAAACTTTAATGAGTTTGTCTCTGCTTTATTGAATGAAGGAATGATTAAAGATTTTAAAAGGATTAATGATGCCTTTAGCTTTTTATCTTGATGGAGATAGCTAAATTGATGAAGAGGAGCTCAAGGCTTCCCTAGCTAAGAAAGATTTCCATGATCTTTGAAGCAATGTCTTAATAGATGTAGTCAAGAAATGTGATCTTGATGGAGACTGAAGAATTTTCTACAAGGAGTTTCTTATCTCAATGAGCATGGAATTTGAAAAATTAACAAAAAATATATAAAGAGTTTATTTAAGAATGTTCAAGAGAAGTCTAAAGATATTTTAAAGCTTTTTAATGATGTTTCATATTTTTTGTGTTTCATTTTATTTTCATAAAAAAGGGGTTTTGGGGTTTTGGGGTTTTGGGG